AAAAGCGTTTCATTCAGTGATCTATGCATGTTCCCCCACATCCATTTGCCACGAGGGTTCAAGACCCCGAAATTTGAGAAATATGATGGACACGGCGACCCCATCGCCCACTTGAAAAGGTACTGCAACCAGCTGAGGGGTGCAGGAGGAAAGGAAGAGCTACTGATGGCTTACTTTGGGGAAAGCCTGGTGGGGGTAGCTTCCGAATGGTTCATTGACCAAGATATCTCTCACTGGCATGTTTGGGATGACATGGCCCAGGCCTTCGTCAAACAATTTCAGTACAACATTGACATTGCGCCGGATCGTAATTCTTTGTCCAATATGAAGAAAAAGCCGACCGAAAGTTTTAGGGAGTATGCCATCAAGTGGAGGGAGCAAGCGGCTAGAGTTAAGCCACCCATGGATAACCACGAGTTGATCACTGTTTTTTTGGAGGCTCAAGAGCCTGATTACTTTCAGAACATGATGTCCGCGATGGGTAGACATTTTGCAGAAGCAATCAAAATAGTGGAGATGGTCGAAAATGGCCTCAAGACTGGCAGAATTGTAAGTCAAGCTGCCCTCAAAGCCACCACCCAAGCTATCCAAAATGGGTCGGGAGGTTTGGCAAACAGAAAGAAGAGAGATGAAGGGTCCATGATGGCTTCGGGATCTAGGGAGTTTCAAAGAGGGGCATCGCACCCTTATGTGCAAGTTCAGCAGGGGCAATCCAGCTACCCTCAATATTATTATCCCCTGCCAATTCCTCAATACTCTGTGGGCCCACCACAATATATAGTGTTCAATGCTCAATCATATGCTCGGCCTCCCAATCAGCAGGTACGGGCACCAACTCCAAGGGCTCCCCGACCTCAGCAGCAAAATTTTCGGGCACCTTACAATGCTCGTCCCAGGCAGGATTATGGTCGAGAGCAGAGGCCGATAGAAAAATTCACGCCATTGGCTGAATCATATTCTAGTCTATTCCAGAAGCTGAAGCAAATGGGCGTAATTGGACCCATCGCTCCCCACCATATGCATCCTGATTCGCATGGACTTCAAGCAAATCATTCTGGCGCCCCAGGGCATAGCACTGATGATTGTTGGACTCTGAAAAGAGCCATAGAGAGACTCATTTCCGAAAAACTAATTGTAGTGACGAATGGCGAGGACCCTCCTAACGTGACAAATAATCCGTTGCCAGCACACAATGACGTTCATTTTGTTGGAATGATTGGCCGAGACCAAGAATACAAGCCGGTCGGTCGAGCAGAAATGACAGTGAGTGCAATTCAAGAAGGAGCAGGTCTGGAAGTAAGTCCCAGCCGAGATGTGCCATTGATTGTGAAAGGCGCCCAGAACTCAAATAAGGCAACTTTATTTGTTCCAAAGATCTCGAGGTTGGAAGTTCACTCTAGTGTTCCAAGCCCAAGGTTATATGTACTTGGAGGCCATCCCGTCAAAAGGGAGAAGCAGGGAGGTACGAAAGGTATAACAGAGCCGATCGTAATCAAACCTGCCATGCAACTCCGTGTAACCAACAAAAAAACCACTCCTTGGAACTACAACAAAATGGTGATGACCTACAAAGGCAAGGAAATCATAGAGGAAGTGGGGGAAACTGGAGGTTTTACTCGATCAGGGAGATGTTACTCTCCAGAAGAGTTGAGGAAGGCTTAGCAAATTAGAGAAGGCCATTTGCCAATAAAGAAGCCAGTCACTGAAGCAGATGCCAAGAGTTTTTGAAAAAGATGAAAGGTCAGGATTACTCAATCATTGATCAACGAAGAAAGACTCCCGCTCAAATCTCTCTACTATCTATTCTCCTATATTCCAAAGAGCATGCCCGTGTACTAATCAAGGTCCTGAACGAGGCACATATCTCAGAGGAGACCACAGTGAATCAGTTAGAGAAGATGGCCAACAGATTTTTTGAAGTGAATAGAATCTCCTTTACTAATGATGAACTTCCCGAGGAGGGAGCCGCGCATAATAGGGCTTTGAACTTGATGGTCAAATGTGAGGGTCATTATGTAACGCGAGTCATGGTCGATGGAGGCTCAAGTGTAGATGTATGCCCTCTCTCTACCTTGCAAAGCATGAAGATCGATACAGACATAATCCGACCCAGCAATGTTCGCATCCGGGCTTTTGATGGCTCAGCAAGAGATACCATTGGGGAGATCAACCTCACCATGATGATTAGGCCAGTTGACTTTGAGATTTTCTTCCAAGTAGTGGACATGGACACTTCTTATAACTTTCTCCTTGGAAGGCCATGGATCCATAGGGCCCGAGCCGTGCCATCCACCTTGCATCAGATGCTCAAATTTGAACATGACAGGAAAGAAATTATTGTTCACGGAGAAGACGAGTCTTCCATTTATAAAGACCCTTTAATCCCCTATATTGAGGCCAAGGAAGGGTCTGAGTCCATTGTCTATCAGGCTTTTGAAGTGGTTGCTGCGGACCATGTCGAGGAAGGAAAGTCTATTCTGCATTCTCGTCTTTCTGCCACATCTGTAATGGTGGCTGAAGTTATTATGAGACAAGGTTATAAGCCAGGAAAAGGCTTGGGGGCATCATTGCAAGGAATTTCGGAGCCTATATCTCCGTTCGGTAACCATGGTACTTTTGGATTGGGCTTCAGGCCAACACAAGCAGACGAAAACAAAGTCGAACACCGCAAAAAGCATGGATGGGTCTTGCAACAACCTATCCCTCATATTTTCTACACTTTTGTCAAGCCACGACTCCGAGAGGGTCAAAATTCCTCGGCGCATGCAAACACTGATGAAATTTGCCATGGCCTCAGCGAGCTGTTTTCTGAAGTGAATATGATCCAGGCTGGTGAAGGCACTAGTCGTGCCGATATGCAACTAATTGACCCAGACACCATGCTCACCAACTGGGAAGCAACTCCTCTCCCCACAAGGAAGGAGTCTTGGTAGTTTGCTTTTGCAGCTTCTTTTTTGTATTTTGGGTTACTTTTAGGGTTGTAATCCAAACATCTCAGTATGATTGTTTTGTTTTGATGTTAACCCTTCTATCCTTTCGAATTCAATGAAATACAGTTTAGTTTCCTCATAAGTTTTCTATCTTTTCCTTTTCCTAATTCCTGTCATTTTATTTCCATTTCAGTTTTGTTAATGCCGGCTTTAATAACATGACATGCATGTGGAATTCACGCCCAGATCTTAAAAAGCTGTCTAATATCAAAATAATGCATCAAGAGGTTGAATATGATGAAGATGAGGTTGTTAAGGAAATAAAAAGAGAGCCGGAACAATTTGAAAACAAGCCTAAGCCAAACCTCAATGAAACTGAGCCGATTAATATCGGAAGTCCTGAAGAAGTTAGAGAAACGAAGATAAGCATTCACACTGAACAAAAATTCAGAGATGCCTTGATTCAACTTTTATTTGAATATAGAGATGTGTTTGCTTGGTCTTACGATGATATGCCAGGTTTAAGTGCTGATCTGGTGGTTCATAAGCTTCCTACGTATCGTGGTTTTCCACCAGTCCAACAAAAGCAATGAAAATTTAAAACAGACGTGAGTGACAAAATCAAAGAGGAAATAATGAAGCAACTAAGCGCCAATGTGGTCAGAGCTGTCCGATACACTACCTGGGTGGAAAATGTTGTGCCTGTGCCAAAGAAGGATGGAAAAACTAGAGTTTGTGTCGACTATAGGGACCTGAACAAAGCAAGTCCAAAGGATAATTTTCCTTTGCCAAATATCCACATTCTTGTAGATAATTGTGCAAAACATGAGATACAATCGTTCGTGGATTGCTATGCTGGGTACCACCAAATTCTAATGGATGAGGATGATGCAGAAAAGACCGCTTTCACCACGCCATGGGGTACTTATTGTTACAAGGTCATGCCGTTCGGTTTAAAGAATGCAGGGGCAACTTACATGAGGGCCATGACCACTATCTTTCACGACATGATGCACAAAGAGATTGAAGTATATGTCGATGATGTCATCATACAATCAAAGACACAAGCTGATCACGTGTGTGATTTTAAAAATTTTTTCGAACGGCTTCGAAGGTATGACCTTAAGCTTAATCCAGCCAAGTGTGCCTTTGGGGTTCCATCTGGGAAACTCCTCGGTTTTATAGTCAGCCGGAGAGGCATCGAATTGGATCCATCTAAGATAAAGTCCATTCGAGATCTGCCACCCCCGAAGAACAAAAAGGAAGTCATGAGTTTGCTCGGGAGGCTGAACTACATCAGTAGGTTCATTGCTCAGCTCACAACCACGTGCGAGCCCATCTTTAAGTTGCTGAAAAAGGATGGCGCTATCAGGTGGACAGACGATTGCCAAAAAGCTTTTGACAGGATCAAAGATTATCTGTCAAAACCCCCTGTATTGGTCCCGCCTGAACCTGGTAGGCCTTTGTTTTTATATCTATCGGTGATGGATAATTCCTTTGGATGCGTTCTGGGGCAACATGATGCAACAGGCAAAAAGGAATAGGCAATCTATTATTTGAGCAAGAAGTTCACCAATTATGAGGTTAAGTACACCCTTTTAGAAAGGACATGTTGTGCCTTGACTTGGGTCGCTCAGAAGCTGAGACATTATCTTTTGGCCTACACTACTCACCTCATATCCAGAATGGATCCTTTGAAGTACATCTTCCAAAAGCCAATGCCCACTGGCAGGCTCGCAAAATGGCAAATCTTGCTCACAGAGTTTGACATCGTCTATGTCACTCGCACCGCGATGAAAGCACAGGCTTTGGCAGATCATGGCAGAGAATCCAGTTGATAGTGAGTACATGCCACTTAGCACATACTTCCCAGACGAAGAGGTTAACTCAATAGGAGAAGTGGTTCCAGACGATCACCCTGTATGGAAAATGTATTTTGATGGAGCTGTCAATATCAAAGGAGTTGGGATCGGGGCAATCTTCATCTCACCTATTGGACATCATTACCCTGCAACGGCCCGACTTCGATTCTTCTGTACCAATAATACGGCAGAATACGAAGCTTGTATCATGGGTTTGAAAATGGCCATCGATCTGGATGTGCATGAACTATTGGTTATGGGAGATTCTGACTTGCTTATCCGGCAAGCTCAAGGCGAATGGGAGACTCGAGACATCAAGCTTATTTCGTACAGACAATGCGTGCAAGACTTGAGCAAAAGATTCAAATCCATCGAGTTCAGGTACATTCCTAGGTTTCACAACGAGCTAGCCGATGCCTTGGCTACTTTAGCCTCGATGATCCCTTATCCAGGCAACGCTCATATTGATCCGCTAGAAGTCCAAGTTCGAAATCAACACGGTTACTGCAATACAATTGAGACAGAACCAGATGGTGAACCATGGTATCATGACATAAAACGATTCCTGAAAATGATAGAATATCCAGAGCATGCCAAAGGAGATCAAAAAAGAACTTTAAGGCGGCTCGCCAGTGGTTTCTTCCTGAATGGGGAAATTCTGTACAAAAGGACCCCAGATTTAAACTTGTTGAGATGCATAGATGCTACAGAAGCAGAGCAGATCATGGGTGACGTGCATTCAGGGGTATGTGGACCTCACATGAATGGATATGTTTTGGCGAAGAAGATTCTGCGGGCAGGGTATTATTGGCTTACTATGGAGCGACATTGCTTCAGTTTTGTTCGCAAGTGTTACCAGTGCCAGATTCATTGTGACCTGATTCACTCGCCTCCTTCAGAGTTGCATCCCATGTCCTCTCCTTGGCCTTTCGTTGCTTGGGGAATGTATGTTATTGGGCCAATCGAGCCAAAGGCTTCAAATGGACATAGATTCATTTTGGTTGCAATTGATTACTTCACCAAGTGGGTGGAGGCCGTTACTTTCAAAGCAGTCACCAAGAAAGTAGTGGTAGACTTTGTTCATTCCAACATCATCTGTCGCTTTGGTATCCCGAAGACCATTATCACTGACAACGCAACCAATCTAAATAGTCATTTGATGAAGGAGGTATGCGAGCAATTTAAAATTATGCATCGCCATTCTACCCCTTACCAGCCAAAAGCCAATGGAGCCGTTGAAGCGGCGAACAAGAACATCAAGAAGATTCTTAGGAAGATGATCCAAGGTTCCTGGCAATGGCATGAAAAGCTGCCTTTTGCTCTTTTGGGATACCGCACGACTGTTCGCACATCTGTTGGTGCAACTCCGTATCTACTTGTATATGGAACTGAAGCTGTAATACCCGCTGAAGTCGAAATTCCCTCTCTCTGAATTATTGTGGAATCAGAGATTGAAGACACTGAGTGGGTCAAGACCCGATTAGAACAACTGATGTTGATAGATGAAAAATGGCTAGCAGCAGTGTGTTTCAGCCAACTATACCAGCAAAGAATGGCACGCACTTACAATAAGAAAGTGCGCCCAAGGAAGTTTGAGGTAGGCCAGCTAGTTTTGAAATGCATCGTTCCGTACCAGGTTGAAGCTAAAGGAAAGTTCGCACCGAACTGGCAAGGACCCTACCTCATCAAGAAAGTGTTACCAAAAGGGGCCTTGCACTTGGTAGATGAAGAAGGGCGGGTACTAGACATGACTATTAATGCAGTCAAAAGATATTATGTCTGATATATGGCCACTGTAGAACATTCACGCATTGATTTTCTCAGATTGAGATGACAAAGGATATCATTTGCTCGCCATTCCAAATAGGCGTCACTCTTTTGTTAACCCTTTTGAGTCGCATTTGTCTTCTTTGTTTTGAACCTTCTGGAACCTGTGTACTTAAAAAAAAAGGATAGAAAAAAAGAAAGAAAAAATAGTCAAACAACAAAGCTTCAAAGTCATCAAACTACGTCCGACCTGATTCCGAAAGGATACGTAGGCAGCCTTACCCTAGGTTCAGTCCCATCAGAACAAAAAATCCATATTTCTAATACTCTAAAACTGGGGCAGAAGTTTGTTCTATTTTACTGTTTTTTCTATAAAAACGGTTCCAAAAGTTGTAATTCAGTTCAAGGTTCTTTTCGCTTTTTCCCTATTAGGAACTTTTGATCGATCTTTGAGAATGTTTGAAGTCTCCATGCCAAGAGCGTCGGGCAACCTCCCGCATGCAGTATCTTAAACAAAAAAGAGAATAAATGAGAGAGTATTATCGGTGAAAACCCGTGCGGGCACTATAAGGCGATATTGAGTAGAGAAATGAGAGAGTCTTATTGGTGAAAATCCAGACGGGCACCATAAGGCGACGGTGAGTAGATAAATGAGAGAGGCCAGTTAGCGAATACCCGCAAAGGGAACTACTAGCCGAATGAGGGTCTTCAATTCTCCGGCATGGGCACAACCAAGACAATTTCAAGATGAACATTTTCGATGAATTTTGAGAATTAGAAAGCTCAGATGGATCAGGCGTCCAGTCCAAAATGCATGTCATGATTCATTGAAGTCGGTACATACCTCCAGATAAGTATCCATATTCCTTTCCCCAAAAGGGACACCTTTTGTTTAAGCATAGTTCTTTTTCACTTCCAATTATTTTTCTGTGTTTACCCATAATTTTTCTTTGAATCCCTTTCGGTCTAATCCTGCATCAAAAGCGAAGCAAAGAAATGGCTGCAAAACTGGCTACGATTTCCGCGTAATATCGAGCACAATTTGGGGCATATATGGCATTGACGAAGGCACAAATCCATCTGCGATCTCATTTGATAAGGCGAACAAAGTGTCTCAAAGAAACTGAAAAGGTCGCCTAAGCAAGACCTGCTTCATGAGAAAAGTTGATAAGCACTACGGACACAAACAGATACCGGGTGCAAGACAGTTGAGTTTGATTTTAAAGAAAAATTGCCTTGGAGACAAGGGTGGCGGTACCATGGACATCTAGGTATGAAACACTTGGGGGCAATATTGGAAAGCCAAGGTCTCCAAAAAATGATATAGAGCAGCCGAGCATCTCGGTACCATGCTGACAGAATCGGTTCTTCGACAGCAGTGGCCGTGAATAAAACTACTCAGGGCATCAAGGCCACAAACCAACCACCACTTTGAAAACTCGCAAATATTTCTTTGTTTAAAGCAGGAACAAAAGTGCAGAATGGCGATTCTAAAAGAACGAATGTCACCAAACGAAAGCTCTTTAATAATATCCATTTTCTTTTATTTTTCAGCATGCATCACTATTGTTCACACCTCCCATTTTCGTAGCTCAACTCAGGTAGAACCGTTTTGCCTAGGGGGATCCAGCTCATATTTCCGGGTAGAAGTACTCTTCACTCAGGGTGTTTTACGTAGCTTAACTCAGGTAGAACCGTTTCACCTAGGGGGATCCAGCTCATAGTTCCGGGTAGAAGTAATCTTCGCTTAGGGTGTTTTACGTAGCTTAACTCAGGTAGAACCGTTTCACCTAGAGGGATCCAACTCATATTTTGGGGTAGAAGTACTCTTCACTGAGGTTGTTTTACGTAGCTTAACTCAGGTAGAACTATTTTGCCTAGGGGGATCCAACTCATAGTTTCGGGTAGAAGTACTCTTCGCTCAGGGTGTTTTATGTAGCTTAACTCAGGTAGAACAATTTCGCCTAGGGGGATCCAGCACATATTTCCGGGTAGAAGCACTCTTCACTCAAGGTGTTTTACGTAGCTTAACTCAGGTAGAACCATTTCGCCTAGGGGGATCCAGCTCATATTTCCGGGTAGAAGTACTCTTCACTCAGGGTGTTTTATGTAGCTTAACTCAAGTAGAACCATTTCTCCTAGGGGGATCCAGCTCATAGTTTTGGGTAGAAGTACTCATCGCTTAGGATGTTTTATGTAGCTTAACTCAGGTAGAACCATTTCGCCTAGGGGGATCGAGCTCATAGTTCCGAGTAGAAGCACTCTTCGCTCAGGGTGTTTTGTGTAGCTTAACTCAGGTAGAACCATTTCGCCTAGGGGGATCCAGCTCATAGTTCCGGGTAGAAGTACTCTTCACTCAGGGTGTTTTACGTAGCTTAACTTAGGTAGAACTGTTTCACCTAGGGAGATCCAGCTCATAGTTCCGGGTAGAACTAATCTTTGTTCAGGGTGTTTTACGTAGCTTAACTCAGGTAGAACCGTTTCACCTAGAGGGATCCAGCTTATATTTCGGGGTAGAAGTACTCTTCACTCAGGTTGTTTTACGTAGCTTAACTCAAGTAGAACCATTCTGCCTAGGGGGATCCAGCTCATAGTTCCGGGTAGAAGTACTCTTCGCTCAGGGTGTTTTATGTAGCTTAACTCAAGTAGAACCATTTCGCTTAGGGGAATCCAGCTCATAGTTTCGGGTAGAAGTACTCTTCGCTCAGGGTGTTTTATGTAGCTTAACTCAGGTAAAACCATTTCGCCTAGAGGGATCCAGCTTATAGTTCCGGGTAGAAGTACTCTTCGCTCAGGGTGTTTTGCGTAGCTTAACTCAGGTAGAACCATTTCGACTACGGGGATCCAGCTCATATTTCCGGATAGAAGTACTTTTCGCTCAGGGTGTTTTACGTAGCTTAACTCAGGTAGAACTGTTTCACCTAGGGAGATCCAGCTCATATTTTCGGTTAGAAGTACTCTTCGCTCAATTTGTTTTCATAACTTAACTCAGGTAGAACCTTTTCGCCTAGAGGGATTCAATACTTTATCAATATTACAAGGCTCCAAACCCTGGTTACATTTCTTCCTAGTAATAAAGGGTGCCGTCCCCTGGTTACATTTCTCTTCAGTAATACAGGGTACCAACCCCTGGTTACATCCCTTCCTAGTGATACAGGGCACCAACCCATAATTACACTCATTTTCGGTAATACAAGGTGCTAACCCCCGGTTACGTTTCCCTTCAGTAATACAGGGTACCATCCTCTAATTCCATTCCCTTTGGTAACACATGGTACTACCCCGTGGTGGCATATCTTCACATAGTAGTTTATACTACTGTCTTTGTCTTCCTTTTAGTAAATTATATAATTTACAACTTTCTCTGGTAACTCACAAAATTATCCTAGTGCTAGACTGGGGCAGAAATTTTTTGTTCGTTTTGTTCGTCTTTGATGGCTTTGCAGGACCCCTCCGTAAAGCACATATTTAGAGATTAAAGCTTGAAATTTCAGTTCTCATCAGAAGAAAGAAGATTGTTGATCATATGACAGTTAGAGTTAGTTTCGATGAGGTGTCAGCAACTCGGCGTCTCAAGATTCATCTTCTCAAGTTCTAAGAAGGAAATCAAGCAATCGAGAACGAGCCATAATCTTCTCTTCAAAAAGGCATCAAGATCCAATCTAAGGTCAACACAAGCGAGCAGGTCAAGAATCAAGATTTGACTCCAGAAGACACATAGATAGGAATTTTGTTCTCTTAGTTAGAAGACATATATAGTGGTCTTCTCTTTTTCTTTTGATGTAAGAAGGGAGTAACAACAACGGCAACAACAGCAGCAGCGACAGTCTTAACTCCAATGTTCGGTAGTCCCAGCTACCAAATTTTCTCAGAACTACACTGACCTGATTCCTTTATAGCCAAGGATATGTAGGCGACCTCGGAAGCAAGGTTCGGTCACCTTTTTCAAAAATGCTTTCAATGGAGTGATATTTGAGCAAAAATTAGCCATGACATTCACTTTTCTTTGCACGAAAACTCTCCATGTTCTCGAGCAAAGAAGGGCAGCTGTAAATGCCTAATTTTTGCTCTTGACTTTTTCTTTAAATAATAATTTTTAGAATTCTTATTTGTGTATTTTTAGGCTTTTAAATTAGATTGTGTTAAATAATATGATATGAGGGTTAGGGGATTTAACCATTTTAAAAGCCAAAGTTGGCCCAAATATTGGATCAAAACCGGTAGCCCATCAGCCCAAGACTTGGTCCATATGCATTGGCCTGGAAGACTTTAAAACTACGTAGTTTTGTTAGTTTACTAAGATCAAATCCTACCCATCCATTCCATCTTGATCCAACAGCTCTCATTCACTCTCTGCCCTAAAATCCCAAAAGTTTGCCCCATTCTCTTATTACTTTCCCCCTTTCTTTTTCTTCTCTCTTCTCTGTCTCCTCTCTGCCGCCTCCATCGGCCGCCGCCCATCTCCGACGGCCGGAAATCGCCGCCGTCGGCGGACCACCTCCAATCAACCCCATTTTTTCATCCCATGCTCTCCTTAACTCCCTCTTTCCGAATCTCCAAGCTAAATTCTACAAAAACCCCTCAAAATCCACGAATTTTAGATCTAGAAAACCCTAGCCGCCACCTTTTTGCCCAAATTCGTGAAGTTCCGACCACCACCACGCT